CAGCAATACAGAGAGCTACAGTAACACAAGATGGTCAAGATGTATTTACAACGAACATTTGCTCATTGTTTGATATTTACACAAGCTACGCCATGAGGGAGAGACATTATCTCGTTCATCTTTGTTCGTGTAGTTGGGTCTTGTTTGGACTAAGACTGCTCCGGTAACTAAGCGCTCTTTATACCTCACAACCCCAGTGTTACTGTGGTTTGGGCAGTTAAAGTTGACAGCATGTCTGGTAGAAGTATGGCGGAGGGCAGCTGCAAGGTTTTATACAAGCAGTTGTTGGAATCATAATGGCAGGAGCTATACAATCCTAATTTGTAGTTGTTTGGCAGCAAAACTAATGTATGATAGTTAGCAGTATGATCAATTTATTGAGTTAATTACATTGGTTGTTTCTTAGTTTGTTATTTTGTCCTTAGTCTTCGTCAGGCAGGATCTTAATTTCTCGCTTGATTTGAAGACTGTTTACCATTTCTAGCACCCGTCCAATCGACTCTGAAATGGCGGGAACACAGGAAATCATATGGTCGATATTAAAGTGGTCGTTCGTATCTACGGTTGATGTTGTTCCGGTTGTTTGTTACTCTTTTTATGAAATATTGTGAATACCTGTTTTTCTAGTCTGTAGAAATTCTTACGCGTAATGGATTTGTGCCGAAGTTCGGTTGGGTCGGATGTCGGTCGCACCGATCTGTCAAATAAGTTTTTGGCCATACCTGCTTTTGGACATGGCAGATGATTAGAGCAGAAATGCAGGTAGAGTGCCGTGTGCGTAAGCTAGAGATGGACTGAAGATCTCAATGACTCATCGTTTTCTCTGATTACTCTGCAGTATACATGCGATGTAGAACTTTTTTTCAGCTTCCATCGCCAAGTGGATCGATGGATTCACGGCATTGATATATTTGAAAACTGCTTATTAGAAAAATACTCTGACTCTATCAACTTAGACTGAAAAAAATTCACTCAGCGTATTGATTTAAAATCTGTCACAGTGAAGCCGTAGACGTTCATATCTGCATTATGCTCAGGCTTAAAAAGTGTATCTCATATTCAACCAATAATATTCGACTCACGGCTGTATTTTGTTAGGGGTAACCTCTTAAATTACAGCAGAGTTTATTCTATTTTTTATCTGTTTATAGAGAACGAGTAATTCTTTCGCGCGTCGATGGAAAGATAAATTTGCGTGAAACAAATTACTTATACACAACGCAAAAGATACTATATTCAGTTCGGTGGTGGCTGACCAATACCGAGGATTCCGTTCCTGTCTCACGGGTCTTCTCCACTGTACGTTGGTGGTAAAGTTGCGTGAAAATGACTGGTTCTCTGCAACAGTCGATATTTTCGGAGGTTGATGGCAAGCTTTCAGTCCGTAATGCTGGTTAAACAGGATTTGAGTGACAAGGAGAACGAGACTCAAACAACTCTTGCATAATTCTTATCCTGCTAGCTGACATTTTCGCAGGATGGGATGTTTAAAGCCTCCTTTATCCCTCTATATAACCAATGTCTTTCTTTGATGATGCCGCTGCACTCAGACTATCGGGGAACTGTTCTTGCTGGGCCGTGTGGTGCACAATCCCAGAGGTCTTTTCGCATTGTTCCTCGACTTTGCTGGCGGGCGAGGGTT